AGTCTGTTTCAGCTCACTAATGCCTAGGATATTGATCTTTATGAGTTCTATTTCATTTTTGACAACTTCCAGTTTTCCTAGTTTCATACTTTGTACATTCCATGTTCCAATGATTAATGGATGTTTGTATCTGTTTCTACTCATTTTGAGTCATGACACATCAGCCAGTGGAAGTCCCAAAAGCTTTACCCTATCCATAACATTAAGGTCATCTCTACTCTGAGAAGTCAGCTCTTCCCCAGTCAAATTTTGTGTGCCTTCTGATGTGATGGGCTCATCTTCTGGCACTATGTTGGGCAATGTTTCAGGGCTGTTCATAAAGTTTTCCAGTAATATATCAGACCTTGTTTCACTGCTATTCATAAGGTTTTCACTGGCCAATTGTTTGAGAAATGAATGGCCTCTTCCTCTTCTGAGTCTGTCTTAGCTTGCAAGCTCCACTGAAACTTGACCACCATGGGTAACTCTGCTGGCATTTTGCAACACAGTGGCATAGCCTCCAGCCTCATAGCAACCCATAAGCCACCACAGAATGACAAACTGACAGACAAGTTCTTCTCCCTTAGTTGTTCCTAACCCCTCTGCACCTGCCTCCCTCAAGCAATGGCCTTAAAATAAGAGCTGCCTACAAGTGAAAAGCAGCCCCGGGCTCCAGCCCCCCTACAGCAGGCCCTGGCCTTAATATGGAGCCACCCCGAAGTGAAAAGCAGCCTCCAAGCCCCAGGCCAGCCTACCTCAGACCTGGCCTTAATATAGAGTATATCACACACATAGCATAGATGAAATCCTTTGCTTCAGGAAAAAGTTAAACTGATCCTTACAGTGTAAGTTTTCAAAATTACAGGTCTTTTATAGTGCAAAGCCCTAAACTTAGTGTTCTGGTTACCTAGTGCCACTCTGACAAAAATATACCACAAATGGAATGGCTTGAACAAACAGGAGTTTATTACAATTTAGAGGCTTTAAGTCCAAGTTCAAAGTGCCAGACTCTAGGGGCTGTGTGAAAGCCCCTCAACCTTGGGCTTCAGCTCTGCCTCTTGCTCCTGGCCCACTGAAGCCAGAGGCATTTCTTCACTCAGGCAGCTACTCACTGCTGAGACTAACAAGCCCAAGGCTGACAAACAAAATAGCACAGTCCCAATGTTACCAAGCCACATGGCAGGCCATTAATTCAAGTCCATTGTAAGTCCCAAGGTCAGCAGAGCATGGCAAGCTGCTAAACAACGACATGGCTACATGCAGGGTCCAAGCGTGCCATAAGCTAGAGACTATCCTCAAGGCTTCGCCTTATTTACAGGAAGCAGACCACATTCCAAGGCAGCTAGCTACTCAGCTGCTTGTGGTAGATCCCACCATGGAGTTGATTGCCAATTTCATCATGGGGAATAACTACCACCAGCTGCACAGCCACTCAACCAGGCCCAGCCAAGTTGACATGCAAATTTAACTACCATAGTTAAATTCCCAGATGCCTTCATGGGTAAACAGAATTCAAAACCTCTCCATAGGGAGAAACTGAGAAAGATTGGTCACATGTCTCACACATCCCAGACTATATTTTTCTCTGTCCCTAAATTCAGGGAAGGAGGCATGGAAGGACAGTCCAATGAAGCTCCCTTAAAAACATCTCTAAATAGAAGAGCTCTGGTAGCATAGTGCCCAAGGCATTTGACTGCTAACCAGAAGGCTGGTGGTTCAAACTCACCAGTGGAAGGAAGGTTGGGCAATCTACTTCTGTAGTGATACTGCTTTGGAAACACAAGGAGGGGTTGCTATGAGTCGGGTCTGACTCGACAGCACATAACAACATCAAAAATAGAAGAGGATACAAACTCTTCTCCTCTAGCCAATCTTGGGTCCAGACGCAAAAGGCCAGGGCATATAGAGTGACCAACCATCCCACTTTGCCCAGAACTGAGGGATTTCCTGGGACATGGAATTTCAGTGTAAAACTGGCACAGTACCAGGTAATCCAGGACGGTTGGTCAGCCTAAACTGGCAAAACACTGAGAGCTCCCATACCATTTCTCCTGGTAGACAGATACATTTATTAACCCAATCTGACTGTTGTTGGTGATGTTGTTGTTAGGTGCTGTCAAGTCAGCTCCAACTCATAGTGACCCTGTGTACAACAGAATGAAACACTGCACGAAACTCTGCCTACTCATGAGCCATCCTCACAATCCTTGCAATACCTGAGCCCATCATTGCAGCCACTGTGTCAATCCACCTTAGTGAGGGTCTTCCCCTTCCTCACTGACCCTCCACAAAGCATGATATCCTTCTCCAGGGAATGGTCCCTTCTGACAACATAACCAAAATGGTGAGATGAAGTCTGGCCATTCTTGCTTCCAATGAGCTTTAAGGCTGCACTTCTTCCAGGACAGATTTGTTTGTTCTTCTGGCAGTTCATAGTACTTTCAGTATTCTTCACCAACACCAAACTCAAAAGCATCGACTCTTCTTTGGTCTTCCAACTTTCACATACATATTGTTGTTGTTATGTGCCATCAAGTTGGACCCAACTCATAGCGACCCTTCCTTGGGTTTCTACAGAAGTAGATTTCCCAACCTTCTTTCTGAGGAGTGGCTGGTGGGTTTGAACCACCAGCCTTCTGGTTAGCAGTCAAGTGCCTTAGGCACTATGCTACCAGAGCTCTCACATGCATATTAAGCTATTGAAAATACCATGGCTTGGGTTAGGCACACCTTAGTCTTCAAAGAGACATCTTTGCTCTTCAGCACTTGAAAGAGTTCTTTTGCATCAGATTTGCCCAGTGCAAGAAGTCTTGTGATTTCTTGACTGCTGCTTCCACGGATGTTGATTGTGGATCCAAGTAATATATAAAATCTTTGACAACTTCAGTCTTTTCTCCACTTATCGTGATGCTGGTCTAGTTGTGAGGATTTTCATTTTTTTTAATGTTGAGGTGTAATCCATACTGTAAACTGTAGTCTTCAATTTTTTATCAGTATTTTAAGCCATCTTCACTTTCAGCAAGCAAAGTTGTGTTGTCTACATGTTTGTTAATGAGTCTTCCTTCAATCCTGATGCCACATTCTTCTTCATATAGTCCAGCTTCTCAGATTATTTGTTCTGCATACAGATTGAGTAAGTATGGTGAAAGGATACAATGCTGATGCACTCCCTTCCTGATTTTAAATCATGTGGTATCCCCTTGTTCTGTTCAAAAGACAGCCTCCTGGTCTATGATTGCTTGTAGGCACATGTATAAATATTGTCTATTAACTCCTTCCTTCTTTTTCTGGGCTACAAGATTTCTTTAGTTATAGCAATAGATTTCAAACTTTGCTGTGCATCAAAATGACCTGCAGGTCTTGTTAAAACACATATTGCTGGACCTAGCCTCCTGAATTTCTGAATTGGTAGGTTTGGGGTAGGCCCCCCAAATTTGTATATTTGAGAAGTTACCAAGTGATGCTGATGCTGCTGGTCCAGGAATTGAACTTTGAGAATGACTTCCAGTAGTTTGACATATTATATTGTTCTAAGACTCACATGTAATGGAACAAGAGGTCAGCAGAAAGGATACGGATATGAATCAGCAATGTGAAGTACAGACTTTTGTAAGAGTCAATCTTACTTTCTTTTTCAATTCTCAAGCACCTCTCAGTAATGAGTACAGTTTTTAAAAAAGAAAGAAGACCCTCATAAACAAAATATGACATAAAAGGTTCACATTTCCAGGCAAGTTTTTGCAGAGCTGTGGGGGAGCTCCTTATTGTGGGGTTTACTTTGATGACTGTGAATTCTCTATGGAAAGACAGCACACTCTAGCTCACTTCTAGTGACATTTGGTTTCTCTCATGTATGCTCAAGCCTAATAGCTGAAATATCCTTTGTACTTAGTCTGAGTCACAGTTTAACAATTACCATTTGCCCTGGCATAATAAAAAAAGAAGAAGAAATGCATTTTGGTAATGAAGTCTGAATTCCTTTAACCTACCCAAGCTTTTCTATGTAACTCAATACATAAGAAAAATATAAAAGCAGTTACAGGTTGTAAATATTCATTCTGTTCCATGTGTCCAGATTCAGCCCATAAAAACATCTGCTGCTTCTAATCCATATGCAAATGTTGCCTTCAATTGTGGAAATATGTCCCTTATTCACAAAGAAATGTTCATGATTGTGCTCTCACTTAGAATTGGATTTGACCTAGGAGAAAATAAGCTATGGGGCTTTGGTGGCAGAAATTTTTTTTTACTTGTTATTGTGATTTGGGTGAAGGTTCACTGAGCAAAGTAGTTTTCCTTTCAATAATTCATTTTGTGTCACGCCATTAACTGCAATCCCCAAATGTGACAGCACTCATTCCACTTCCTCCCTGTTTCCCATTTCCATTAGTACTTCTTTCCTATTCCTTCCTGCTTTCTGAACTTTGTCCCTGGGCAAATGCTGCTTTTTTTTTTTCACTTCGAATGTTTGATTGTTCTAAGGAATGCATACCTCCCACGTGTTATTGTTCACCTTATAGACCTATTGTTTGGCTGAAAGTTGAGCCATGGTTGTGAGTTCAGTTCCTTGATTGAAGGGTGAGTAAGGTAGGTTCCACCAGTCATTATAACCTTTGAGCCTTTTCTTTTACTATGATTTTGAGTTACGTTCTATATTTTTCTCCCATTTGATCCAGGACCTTCTAATGTATTCCCTTTCAGAATAATAATGCTATCCAAGCACCATCTAGATTTTTCTGATCTCAATGTCATGGAGGTTGAGATTTGTGTGGTGCATTTATATTTTGGACTAATTGTTTCCAGGCATCTTTGATTTCCTTCACTCTTCTTTGCTCCAGATGGAAAGAGACCAATATTTGTACCTTAATTGGTGGCAGAATTTAAATCCCATAACTGTCAAATGTTTCTAGGGAAATAAATCCAAAACAGAAAATTTTACCATTCTATGAATAAATAAATTTCTAAATGACCAGTCTCAGAAATTAGCTTTCAATAATAATAATTTTGTTTTTTTTCCCCAGCGTTCCGGCGGTGCCCTTGACATCCCTTTGTGTGCATTCCAGGGGACTGTGTCTCTCCATGCTCCTACCGGGAAAACTTTGTCTCTTTCTACCTACGAGGTAAGCGCAGAAGGGCAAAAAATCACCCCAGCATCTAAGAAAATTGAAGTCTATCGTTCCAAAAGTGTTGGCCACGAACCAAACCCAGAGGATTCTCCCTCCACTTTTGCGGACACCAATGTGAAAATACACTTGGAAGTTCTTGAAATCTGTGATAACGAAGAGGCCTTGGACACAGTCTCAATCATTAGCAACATCAGCCAGTCCTCCACGCAAGTCAGATCCCCATCCCTGCGCTACTCACGGAAAGAAAACAGATTCGTTTCATGTGACTTGGGGGAAACAGCATCATACTCCCTCTTTTTGCCCACAAGTAATCCTGATGGTGACATTAACATCTCCATTCCAGACACTGTGGAGGCTCACAGGCAGAACAGTAAAAGGCAGCACCAAGAGGGAGATGGCTACCAAGAGGAAATCCAGTTGTTAAATAAAGCTTATAGAAAAAGAGAGGAAGAAAGCAAGGGTAATTAGTAATTATTTGGTCTAATAAAAGCTAGAATGGTTCTGCAACCTCAAATTGCTGAACTAACATCTTTGTTCTGAGGCTATTTGATTTCCTTTTTTATTTTTTTGGTTTATATAAGGGAGTTGTGATGGTGCAGTGCTTAAAACATTCAGCTGGTAACCAAAAGGTCACTGATTTGAACCCATCAGCCACCCTGCAGAAGAAAGATGTGGCAATCTGTTCCCATAAAGATTTATAGCCTTGGAAATTCTGTGAAACAGTTCTATTCTGTCCTATAGGGTCACTGTGATTGGAATTGACTGAACAGCAGTGGGTCTGACTTTTGATTGGTTTACATAAGCTTTACAGATCTACTAGTTAATTCTTTTTAGCTGGAACTAGAGCAAACACTTAAGTACATTTGATGTGTTACCTATAGCTCACACACTGTGGTAATTAAAAGAGTTTGTTTCTTATCTGATTTCTATAAACATTTTCTAAATCTAATCTTTGCCTCACTTACTAATGTTTTAGTCTGTTTGTCACCCTCAGAGTTAACTGAAAATTGTATAAACCCAATGAATATGCTGCTTCCATGTAAATGTTTCTACACATAATTTTGGCCTTTACTGTGAGGGGAAAAAAAAGACTTTCAAGAGATGGGAGAAATAGAGCAAAACTCAGAGTTGTACTTGAAGAGGTCTGTCTAAATATGGCTACTAAAACAAGCTTATTACAGTAATTGCTTTAGCTTTACACTCATATCTAAGAAATAACATTTTCCTGTAAAATGGCAAATGAGAATCCAACTTGGAAACACAAGTCCATAGTCTATAAATAGATGTTTCATTCATTTCTGTAAATACATATTGCTTACTAATTTTTCCTTCTCTTTTAAATATAACAGTGTTTTCCTTTGGTTTTTCAGCCCTATCAAGACTAGCTCTTAAAACAAGTATGTGTGTTACTGGTAAAATTAGAAGCAGTCTTTAAACCAAACATTTCTAAAGGTTGTAAATATACAGTTCATAGTTTCTAGAATTGTTTTGTTTCAATGGAACTTGTGGAAAAACACTACCAGGTTAAGTTCAGAGAGGGGTACCCAATTAGAGTAACAAGCTTCTGGTAAAGCAGAAGAAAATCCTAAGTCTAAAATCCTAAGTCCCAAGTCTACTTCTTAAGGATGCATATGTGGCAGAATTTCTTAGCTTAGAAAATTTTGGTTCAAACTTAGGTGCTTTTTAGAGTTTCTTCTCAAGGAAATGTGTATCTGAGGAAAAGAACAATTCAAGGTATTTTATTAAATGATTGCAAGGTATGCATTTCAAGATCACCTTGTGAAATGCGAGGATCACATTATGAAAGTATCAGTAATGTATATTTTGAAAAATTATGAAGTGTCTTTTTTTTCAAATTGTTTCCTCCTGATCTTTTTGCAAATATGTATTAAATGTATTAGGTATTGTAACTAAGTAAATGATTATTTTCCAAAGTCATTGAATTGACATTTTGCATGGTCTTAAAGTTTGTTCGACTGCTAACCAGAAGGCTGGCGGTTCAAACCCACCAGCCACTCCTTGGAAAGAAGGTTGGGCAATCTAGTTCCGTAGTGATACAAGGAGGGGTTGCTATGAGTCGGGTCTGACTCGACGGCACATAACAACAACAACAACAAAGTTTGTTCACCCCCAATTCACCTACACATTTATTTACTTACAGATTGAGTGACTTTTTATTAGAATGATTTACTTCGGTATTTCTTTCTTTTATATTGAATTGGAATTATACATTATTTGACAAGGGCTTTCAGATTGGATCATCTTTAAAGGTGAGTTTTTGCCACAAAGAAAAATCACTTTCAAAATAATTATCCCCATAGACTTTCTCCATCTCTTATTTAATTTCCTGATAATATCTTGATACTAACTTCTTGACAATTCTCAATAATATCTCATTATTTAAATTTAGAAAACAAATGTAATGCCATTATTAATGTGTGTACAGCAAGCTTTAAATAATGTATAATATATCAATTTAAATTCAAGTGTATTCTCGTTATAAATATATTTTATTTTAAAAGACTTTTTATCACTAAAACTCAGGGCTATTTTAGCCCAACTGGACAGAATAATCTGATGTTTCAAATTAATAGAATAGAATGTCTGCTATAAAAGAAAAAACTGAATTCAATATTATAAGAACACTTTGTAAAAGATAGGCTTTGTTAATTAAATTTAGTATATAACGTTCTGAATGAGAAAGGTAATCTTGATGTTTTAAAACATAATTTCTGGCAGCAAGGAAATTAGAAAAAGATCATAATAAAACTAAAAAAAAATATATTAAAGAGACCATTAGAATGGAATCAGATCCTTTATACTGCACAACACTTTAAATGGGGAGGATGAAAATCAGTTGGAAGAGCCCAAGGATTGAATTAGAAGATAGTAACAAGCCTTTTCCCTCTTGTATAAAGTTCCTGGATGGTGCAAGTGGTTTGTGCTTGACTTCACCCCAGTTAAACCCACCCAGCAGCACCAAGGAAAAAAGACCTGGTGATCTGCTTCCATAAAGATTACAGCCAAGAAAACCCTGTGGAGCACTTTCACCCTGAAACACTCAGGGTCACCATGAGTCAGAATTGACTCGACAGCAATAAGTCCGATTTGGTATCCCTTTTGTATTCCATTTTCTTTTCACTGGACACGGACCTAGTCTGGGGGAACTGGGCGCGAGGGAACTTGAAAATGACCAGCAGGCCTATTTATTTGCCCTTGGTTGTTGATTTAACTATACAATATGTTATTTGTTGTTGTTATTTGCTATCGAGTCGGCCCGACTCACAGCGACCCCTCCTTGGGTTTCCGGGGCAGTAACTATACAATATATTCACTAAAAACTTATTTATTAACACAATAACAGGATTATTTAGACCAATGCCATAGTTTGAGAGGTTGATCAGCATCACATTATTAATGTGTAACACTTCACACTCCAAACCAACAGTAACTGAATCTATAAGGAAAAATATATTAGGGCTGTGCTTAAACATGAGTGACTCCCCCAAATCTTTGCTAAAAGAGGGGAAGATTAAGAAACACCGGTATACTTAAGTCTACTACTCTTTAGAATGATTCTGATTGTTAAAGTGTGTTTCTGACATTGAAAATATCCAGATATTTTGTTATATCCAGATATTTTGCCCTTGCTAAGTTCTTGTTATTAACAAATACTATAATTTCCTATAACTTGTCTCTTTTTCTATAAATTCATGTATCTCAAGACAAAACTACTCCTTGTTATTTAATGAAAGGAGCTCTGGTGGCACAGTGGTTAAGGCACTTGTTTTCTAACCAGTGGTTGCCTGTTCAAACCCACCAACCACTTCACAGGAGAAAGATGAGGCAGTTTGCTTCTGTAAAGATTTACAGCCTTGGAAACCCTGTGGGAGCAATGTTACACTATCCTGCAGTGTCAATAGGAGTCTGAATCAACTCTTAGGCAGTGGATTTGGTTTGGGCTTGGTTGTTTAATAAAAAGATCACCATCTGGTGGCAACTCATATAAACTGCAAATACATAGATCCTGAGACTCAAGAGTTGTCTGAGGGCTGTGACAGATAAAGGCAACCACCCATTTTGAAGACAGCAAATCTCATAGTGTTATATGAAATATAATAAACATGTGTAAATATCCTTTGAAACTTTATTTGGAAGCCTTCTTCAATATGGTTATGTTGTATTGGATTTCCTAAAGAGATTTTTTCTTAAATTCTTTCCAATATCATTCAGCTTCTATCATTCATTTCTTCATCTTACTAGTATTTTCTGAGTGCCTACTACATGTTAGGTAGTCCCTGGATGATGCAAACAGTTATGCACTCAGCTGATTGCCAAAAGATTGACATTTCAAGTCTACCCATAGGTGCCTTGAAGAAAGGCCTGGCAATCTACTTTTAAAATTAGCCATTGAAAACCCTGTGGAGCACAATTCAACTATGACACACATGAACTACCATCAGGCAGAATCAACTCCATGGCAACCATGTCAGGTAGTAGTAAATGCCCAAAAGAAAAATTAAACAGAGTAAAAGAATAATGATGAAAGGAATGCTTTTTCAAATAATTTAGTCAGGAAAGGCCTTACTGATAAGGCCTTGAAGAAAGTGAGGAAACCCTGCTATGTGATTAGGGAAATCGCAGTTCCAACAAAGAGAATATCAAGTTTCCAGAGGTGGGAGGGTGCCTTCTGTGCCCAGCAAACCATCAAGGAGGTCAGCGTGACTGCAGATGAATTAAAGTGGGAAAAGTGGCTGGAGGTAAAGACAAACAGACAAGGGAAAGGAAAGATGATCATTAAAGCCTTGCAGAGCAGGTAAAGGGCTTTAAATATTACTCTAAATGAGGTGAGAAGCCACCAGAGAGTCTGAGCAAAAGAGTGACATAATCTGATTTCAAAAACTACTGTTGTGCAGGGAAAAAGATACAGATACAAAGATGACTACAAGAAGACCAGTTTGGAGGTTATTTTAATACCTATGTTAGAGATGATGATAGCTGGGGTTAGAGTCCACCACTCATTTGTCAGTTTGCTGTACTGTGGTGACTTGCGTGTTGCTGTGAGGCTGGATGGCAGTGGGTGAGACTGGAGGCTAGGTCAACCAGTATATCAAATACCAGCAGCATTACCCTTCATGGACAGGTTTCAGTGAAGTTTCCAGATTAAGACAGGAAGGGAAAAAGGAAGCGGATATCCATTTCTCAAAGACCTGGCCAGTGAAAACCTTATGCATAGCAGTGAAACACTGCCTAACGTATTACTGGAAAACATTATGAATAGCTCAGAAACTTTGTCTGATATAGTGCCAGAAAATGAGCCCTAGGTCAGAAGACATTCAAAATATGACTGAGAAAGAGCTGCCGCCTCCAAGGAGAGTTGATCTTAATAATATGGATGAAGAAAAGATTTCCAGACCTCCATTGGCTGATGAGGATGACTGAAAATGGGAAGAAACAGCTGCAAACAT